TTTGTTCTTGCACACCTTTTCAATATGTCAATATTGTTGCATGCTCTACATTGGATGTTAGGTTTGAACCAGCACCTTTTTCAGCATGACCCTTCTTCTTGCGTGAGTACACGGTGGAAACTCTCTCATTCCACTGGTTTGCTCCACTGGTTGGCCATCTTCTCCTTCCCTTTCTTATCTCTAGCAGACCTTTGCTTCCTCCCTGACCAGGTTTGCTTTTGAGTCCTGCCACCATTGCACCCTCACTCAAGTCCCTTGCCTCAAACAATCTCCTTTGCTCTTGAGCTTGCAAGGCATACACCATTCAGTGAGAGTGATTTGTGATAAGTCCTCAGAATCCTCAAGTGAGGATATCTTGGATTCAACCTCTCGGTAGACTAACTAGGACTTTCTCCACTATCCTTTTTATCTGTCATTTCCTCTCCATTAACCTGATTTATTCACCATATTCATCAACCTATCTATATATTCCTCACTGATTTGACTCCTACATCTTTAGCATTTCAAACTCTCTTCTTAAGTTCAACACCTGCATGTTTTTTATGGTATCACTGCCACCAAAACCCCTCCTTGAGTTTAATTATCCCATCTTCCTTGGTTACTCATATGCCATGATCCTTGTAAACACTTTTTAGTCACTGCTGCATGGATAGTGACAAGGCTCTAGGTGACTTGGTGCTTCCTCATCATGCAGCTAATCTAATTCAGACTGGGGTTTGGCCCAATGCTGGTGGCTGTCATTTTCTTCCAACTGCTTAAAACCTTGTCCCCTCATAAAGGTTTCATTTGACAGCCCATATGTGGTATTGGTCACCGTTAAAGGTTAAGAGAGAAAGGTTGTGTTGTGCCATTGAATTCGGGTGGGAGTTTGACATGAGGTTTTGCCAGAATAGGGCTGAGAAAATGGGTGAGAAGAGTGGTTTATCGGGCCCTTAAGATCAGTGGGGCTCTAATACCAATTGTTGGTTCAGTTGGAGAGAGGATGAGAGTAAAAGAGAGTGATTTGTAAAAAGGGATGGCAAGGCTGAAAGTTTTTCTATGTATTCATTCATGAAAACAACAACATCTACACAGGCAACTCCACTGTTTTACCTAAAGCAGCTACTGTAGTGGATTAAAAAATAATATATTTGAATTTACAGCAAATACATATACCAACATGTCGTAGTCTCAACTAAACATGTCAAACAAAAAATCAACTGACTGTGCCAAATATCGCTGCAACAACTACAGCAGCCCAAAAATAGAATTGTTGCCGCCAACATATTGTGCCTGCTCCAACCCAAACACCCCATTTACCAACACTCCCAATTAGATATTTTATTTATTTCATCATTATCTCAATTAAACTCAATTAATAAATATTATCTATATATTAACATTTAACAATAATGATGATTTAATTAAATATATGCGAACACATATTTAAACGTAATTTCACTTATTTATTTTTCTAATAAATTAATAAAGGCTACGACCTTAGCAATTAATTCACTGTGAATTACCAAATACTCTTTCACCTTAAAAAGACGAAAACCCCTTCCTTCTTCTTGGATCTAAATTATCTTCTTAGTGTGTGACCCATGCCTTCATCATACTGGCAGTGTACAGTATCGCATTAACACCAATAATCGTCTCACTATACACAACCAAGATTGGCCCCTAGCAAGGATCATGCCACCGATAGATTGGATTTAGCAATAGCTACCTGTCAGATATGGTTACCGTACAATTCGATCTTTCATCATACGTTATCTCACGAGACGAAGCATAGAAATAGTGTCAACCTCGGTTACTCTCGATATTATGTATTCAGTTTCTGACCAATGACCCGTATTATAACTAGATAGAGCAACAACTCAATCCCACTTAGCCACAGTTTTAATGTATTGCCAATACTGAATTGCGCCGTGAGATAACTTCTCTCTACCGGAGTGATGAATCCTCTTCGATCCACCATAGTCTTGATACACTCCTCGATGCAGCTAATCACCAGTATTGACAGCTCTAAAAAGAACTGCGTTAGGCTAGTGTCAAACTACACCAATACGTGCACAAGGTGCCTCGGTGATCTCAAGTCTAAGGATCACATGCACCACCATTCTTAGAGATTTGTCCATAGATACTAGGGTTACCATCCATTGAAATCCTCTGGTGGGTCAGTCAGTGAACTTGTTGGTGTAATCCACAGCAGCCCATGTGTTGCACCAGGTTGTACCAAACAACCTTGAGTGAGATCAGTCATGCCTTTCGACAGGGTTTTCAACACATGATAGCCTTACCGTATCTGTGCCCTTACTTAGATAATACTGGGTATGGACATTTCTAGAATGGCCCATATGTGCTCATAGGGTTCTTACTATCAAGATTTGAAACACTTGATACCCTCGCCAGGTTCTACCATTTAAGGACATATCAATACATATTGCAATAATAATGATTTAGGCGTATATAAAATGCATTTTTTATTGATAATGAACATTATACAAAGAGTCAATTCTACAAATTGATTGGCTCTGGGCATCTACTCTAACAAGAATATAGTTCAGAGCCAACAAACCCATCTTCATACTCTTCTGTAATCTATTAATGATCATCAAATAGTAAAAGTGCTCGTTGCAGCTGATGGGTACCACTTTTGATTCGCCAGTTGAATATTCTTATTATAACTAATATTCATATAACACAAACCAAGAAACAAGAAAACATAGCATTCCCACATGGTTTTTCCTTTCTACTAGAACAAAGCACAACAATAAAGTTTGTTTGAAAGTACACAATGGAGTGCATCTCATATGGTTCAACTATCACAATACAAACAAAACAGAAATTAGACTCATTTTGAAGGCCAGATGCTTGAGTTGACATAATTACCCACGATTACTCCAACAACCCAAGGGCACTTGAAGATCTCAATCACTATAATCTTCACAAAAGTGAGATGTTTGAGCATCAGACAATGCAAGCTGCTTCACTTATTCCTAGACACAACCTTTGGAAAAATATAATCATCATAAACCATTATGTTTCACGAAACAGAAAGAAAAATACTAGAGAACTTCACTGAAAGATGCAACAAAAGATGAAAGAACAAACCCGCAAACAGTTAGCAAAGCCAACATGATCCTAGAGGCAAAATGGCGTATCCAGCTCTAAGTACTTGGTGCATATATTTTTGAAGTTGGAACACTTTCTAACTTTGTTTGTAAATAATTGCACAATACACCATATATAGCAACTGCTTCACAAAAAATTACATTGAAAAAACACCAAAAACAAACCAAATCAAAACTTCACACATCACAGGGTTACTCTTACATGTATAATCAGCAATCGCAAGAGAACACTTGACAAGGTTAACTGAATGCAAGACCCGTTACCTGTCACTAAGAAACTTTCCCCAAAAAACAATTAAGATATCTGCAGTCACACTGCTTGATAAAGAGCTGCAAAAAACAATTTCAACATTTCGAGGCGTAGAATAAACTAATTTAGAGATACTTTGTAATTGTAACCCAGTTTACAATTTGAACCCAATTACAATATTCACCCTTCACACCAATGTTCCTAGTCCTGCGAGCCTTCGGTCCACTGCTCGCCACTTGCTTTCCCTTACTTTTACCGCTGAGTGCACAGTATGGGCTTTTGCCCTTTTTCGTGCTTTTGCCAACTTAGGCTCTTGCAGTGGCACCGCCTCGTTGGACTCTGGTGATATGACTCATCCAAACGGCAACCTTTGGCTAACCGTTTGGAAATTTGTTGAACCTCTCAGGTAATTATCCGGCTGGTTGAGTTGAGCTTGAAGGAATACCCCATGGTATCTTCTGCTGGACTGGACACTTCAGGAGAAGTGTCTCTGTACCGGGGGATTTCTCATTGTGGTCAGTTCACTCATTTCGAAACGCAGCCATTTGTATGGATATGACCGTCGGTCGAGGTTTCTGATAAAAGCGAATACTAAATCAGTGTCCTCCTTCTAGCGCAAACTGTTGATCTTGATTTTGAACCAATGACTCACACATGCAAATGCTAAGGCTACTAGAAATTACAATGATATGAAAATATGCAATGAGAGAATATAAGAAGCGGTTTTTAAGTGTTTGGATGCTCAAAAGTGAATCTACGTCCACTGTGGTTGTATTGATAGATGGTTATAGTTAGGTCTCGTACAGTGAGCTAATTACAATCTAGGGAGAACACACACACACACACACTAATGGTGGAAAAGTGACCCGACCCGACCCGCGGCGGTTCTATGAATTTGGCGTCGTCCTAACCCGCCGCCAACAAAGGCAGTCGGGTTAGGCCGCCATTTCTTGGGATTGGCTGGCCAGCCGCCTGCCAACCCTAACGGGGTTAGCCCCTTTTTATTTATTTAATTTTGTTGTGTTGTTTAGTTAACTTTTCAAATGAATAATTAACAATTATAAATGAATAAATGTATTCTTTTAGTTAACTTTTCAAATATCAAATTAATTATTAATTTTTTTTTTTGTTAACATTTCAAAATATAATTCATTTTAATACAATAAAATGTAATTAGAAAAAATAGATTTTCATTTATCAAAAAATAAAATAAGAAATTACACAATTTTCCTCGTTAAAAACCTCACCAAGAAAAACCATATGGACAAAAACTTGTAAAGAAAAAGAGTGCAATATTGAAATTAATTTACAAGTTACAATTTACAATTACAAAAAACTAATTTGGGGGTGTTGATAGGACCTCCCTCATTCGTATCATCTACATACAAAATTGAAATGATTCTATTAGTATGTCGACAACCTCGTATGATCTTGATGCGCGACGTTCCCAATCTCGAAGACATGTGAGGACTTCAATCATTTGTAGAAAGTTTAGTCCTCCTTTCATTTAAATTCTTCCACTTGCACTAAATGTTTGTTCGATGAGACGGTTCAGAAGGAACAGCGAAAACATCAAGGCAAGTTTTTATACCGGAAAAATACATTTCTGGCTTTCCAATATCAAGCGACAGGTATTCAGGATACTGTGCATGGAGGGGCGTTCTTGAGTATTCAGGAAAGAATTTGGATACCATGATGGGCTTCCGGAAAGCGTATCCTGATCTTGGAAGGTGCTTATACATGGAATTGGCTCCTGGAACTCACTCAACTCTTTGTGAGCTTATGTACGAGAGGCTCAATTGGATTTGGTATATCAATCAACCTGAGCCCCAATTGAAGGTGATTCCCCTTAGTTAATGCTAAACCTATCCTTAACTTGGGTCAATCTCAATCTTAATAAACTGCTAAAAGTAGCCGGCTACTTAGACAACAGACTTATGATATTAGCTGCACAACAACCACGTACAATTGAAGTGTTTTTAGTGACCATTACTTTTAACCCAACCACGTACAAAATCTTATTTCTAAGCTCTGTATCCATTTACGTTAAATTATAAGTTATCAATTGATGTGTCCTATGATTTCACAACCAACAATTCAGGGAAGTTCAGTTACTATTAAAGTAAACAGCGACATGATAAGCGCAATGCACCAGGAGGCTGAGAAGATTTGGATTCCTGAGTTTGGAAGAGTGATAAAAGAAACAAAGGACCCTTTCATTAGTGTTATTTATGATTGTGATCCTTTGAAACAAATTGTTTGGGACAGAGTGGTGTTAATCGGAGACGCTGCTCATCCCACAACTCCACACTCTGGAAGAAGTACAAACATGTCAATATTAGACGCAGCAGTATTAGGCAAATGCATGGAGAAATGGGAGCCAGTCAATTTTCAAATGGCCCTTGAAGAATATCAATCTATAAGGCTACCTATCACTTCAATGCAAGTCCTACATTCCCGGAAAGTGGGTCGAATCAAACAAGGCTTAACTCTTGCTGGTAGGGAGCCTTTTGATCCGATGACTGCAACTCCAGAGCAATGTGAAAACCTTCAACAGAAGAATGTGCCTTTCTTTGCCGATGTTCCTGAATCGCTTAATTATCTGTTTGATTAAAAATAAGTAATTTCTGTGATCAATCCTTCCACTCATGCTCAACTTAGTTTTGTTGTTCATAATGAATAAAAAAATATTTCACTTTCATCTTCCATTCTTGCTCAAAGTTGATGCGATTGAGGAAAATAATGTTATTGTTGGTTCAGTTGGAGAGATGATGAGAGTAAAGAGAGAGTGATTTGTAAAAGAAAGGGACGGCAAAGGCTGAAAGTTTTTCTATGTATTTCATTCATTGAACAACAAACATATATACAAAGCAACTCCACTGTTTTACCTAAAGCAACCTACTGCAGTGGATTAAAAAATAATACATTTGAATTTAAACAAATACATATACCAAAACATGTCTTAGTCTCAACTAAACATGTCAAACAAAAAATCAACTTGATTGTGCCAAATATCGACTGCAACAATTACAGCAGCCCAACCAAAACAGAATTGTTGCCGCCAAAATATTGTTTGAACCTTCAGCCAACTTTTGTTCCATTTCTAGCAGGTTATCACCAACTTCATCACTCCTCATTGATAATCTTGCTGGAAACACCAAGTCTAAGTCTTAAACTCTCAAACTTGGTTTTAGGTAAAGCCTTGGTCATTATATCAACTATTTGTTCTTCACCCCTGCAGTGGATTAGTTTCACTTCTCCATTACTCTCTGCCTCTCTCACAGCATGGAATTTGATTTTAATATGCTTGGTCCTGCCGTGTAAGATGAGATTATTTTCCATTGCAACCGCTGACTAATTGTCACAGAACATCACAATTGGTTCATCCTAAGTTTGCCTTAAATCCTACAAAAATTTTCTAAGCCATATGGCCTGGTTTACAGCAACAGCAGCAGAAATGTATTATGCTTCTGCTGTGGACTGAGCAATGGTATCCTGCTTCTTGGAAAGCCAGCATATAGCTCCTGAATTTATGAAGAAGACATAACCTGAAGTACTCCTCATGTCATCTATGCATCCAGCCCAATCACTGTCAGAGTACCCAATAAGCTGTAAATTTTCGGTTCTTTTGAACCATACACCAAGCTCACTACTCCCCTTAACATACCTCAGCACCCTCTTGGTTGCCTTGAGATGAATTTCACTCGGGCTGGACATGAATCTTGAGAGAATGCTTGTTGCAAACATCAAGTCTGGTATGGTGGCAATCAAGTACAGTACCCACCCAATCAGACTTCTATACATTTTTTCATCAACTTTCACAACCCCATCATCCTTGCTCAACTTTAAATTTGCAACCAGAGGAGTGTCAACTGGTTTGCACTTGTCCATGTCAAACTTTTACAGAATTTCATTGGCAAATTTCCTTTGGCTAACAAATATGCCATGGTGACTTTGGTGGACCTCCATTCCAAAAAAATAGAACATTTCCCCAAGATCAGTCATTTCAAATTCATTGTGCATGGCCATTTTAAACTCCTCAAGTTGAGTTGAGTTGCTTCCCATGATGAGTAAGTCATCAACATACAATGACACTATAGTTAATTCCCCTTCCAGCCTTCTCACATATAGTGTATGTTCATTTGGGCTCCTTGCATATCCCAAGCTGACCAAATGCTCATTGATTCTACTATACCAGGCTCTAGGGGCCTGTTTCAAGCCATATAGAGCCTTCCTCAGCAAATAGACTTTTTGCTCCTACCCCTCCACTTCATAACTTTCTGGTTGCTCCACATAAATTTCCTTATTGAGCCAACCATTTAGGAAGGCAGATTTGACATCTAATTGATAGATTCTCCACTCAAATTGGGTTACCAAGGCAAGGAGAAACCTAATTGTGTCATGCCTAGCCACGGGTGCAAATGTATCTGAGAAGTCTATTCCAAATTGTTCAGCAAACCCCTTGACAACCAATCTTGCTTTATGTTTGTACACTGATCCATCAGGCTTCAGCTTCTTTTTATAGATCCATTTAACTTGAATTACTCTCCTAGTTGCTTGTCTGTTAAATAATTCCCATGTGCCATTCTTTTCAATCATTTTTATCTCCTCCTCCATTGCATTCCTTTAGACCTTTGACTTAGCAACCTCCTTGAAATTTGCAGATTCAAGCAAGGCTGCATTACATCTCTCATAAACCTCTACCAGAGGCCTTGTACCCTGGACTGGAAAATCATCATTTGAATCTGCCTCTTCTGGATCATCAAATCTGCCTACTGCAATGTCTGTAATCTACCCTCTTGAGTCTTCTTCAACCTCATTCGTCTTCCAGTTCCAGAACCCTCTTTCATCTACCTTCACATCTTTTCTTACTTGTTGGAACATTGACTCTATAGGCCTTGGACTGCTCATTGTATCCTATGAAGATCCCTGTCATAGCCTTCTCATATAGCTTGCTTCTTTTAATTGCTAGAATGAGTGCATAGCATACACTCCCAAAGATTTTCAGGTTTCTAACTGAAGGCTTCACTCCATACCAGGCCTCATAGGGTGTTTGATTAGTTAAGGCCTTAGTAGGGAGTCTATTAAGCAAATAGACCCCTATGTTTACAGCTTCTGCCCAAAAGGACTTGGGCAGCTTCTTTTTTGCAACTATGCACTTGGTCATCTCTATAACAGTCCTATTCTTCCTCTTACTAACTTCATTCTGCTGTGGAGTGTAGGGATTGCTAAATTGGTGCACAATTCCAACCTTCCTGCAAATTGTTTCAAACTCACTAGAGGTGTACTCACTCCCATTATCACTCCTTATAGTTTTGATGCTAAGTCCAGTTTGTTTGTCAACCTGCAGCTTAAACCTTTAAAACACAACTACAACTTCATTTTTTTTGTTTTAAAAAGGAAACCCAACACATCCGGGACCAGTCATCAATGAATAAAACAAAGTATTTGCTTCCATTTAGGGAGGGGGTCTGCATAGGTCCACACATCTGTGTGGATAAGCTGGAGCTTTTCAGCAGCTCTCCAGACTTTGTTTGCAGGGAAGGTAATCTACTCATCTTACCAAGTTGATAGGTGGCACATACAGCTTTGGTTTCCACAAATTCTGGCAGATTGTAGACCAATTCTTTGGTCTAAATTTCCCTAAGTCCATGATAGTTGAAATGACCTAATCTTTTGTGCCATAATTCTGACTCACTCACATCAGTAACACAAGCTACAAGTTCTGGTTTTTTCAACCTAATAGGGAAGCTTTTTCCCATCATTCTAACCCTCATTAACTCATTGCCTTCACTGTCCAGGATTGTGCAAAACTGATCCTGGAAGTGCAGGGCATCCTTTCTTTCTAACATTTGTCTTACACTAAGCAAATTATGGCTTATATTAGGCACATACAAAACATTAAGGATTAGTTTGATACCTAAACTTGTTTGCACGACAATGTCTCCTCTCCATTTGACAACCACAAACTCCCCATTTCCAACTTTAACTTGGGAATGGTATGACTTGTCCAAGTTGACAAAGTCCTCCAGGTTTGTTGTCATATGATTAGTGCAGCCACTATCTATCAACCATGCATCATTGTAGGCTTGAACTGCACAGCATGAAGCCACAAACAATTGCTCAAAATCTGAATTTGGCTGTTGATCCTCAACAATCTGTGTTTGCTGTGTTGAGTGGTTTGGTTTGTTCTTGCACACCTTTTCAATATGTCCATATTGTTTGCATGCTCTACATTGGATGTTAGGTTTGACCCAGTACCTTTTTTCAGCATGACCCTTCTTCTTGCAGTGAGTACATGGTGGAAACTCTCTCATTCCACTTGGTTTGCTCCACTGGTTGGCCATCTTCTCCTTCCCTTTCTTATCTCTAGCAGGCCTTTTGCTTCCTCCCTGACTAGGTTTGCTTTTGAGTCCTGCCACCATTTCACCCTCACTCAAGTCCTCTTGCCTCAACAATCTCCTTTGCTCTTGAGCTTGCAAGGCATACACCAATTCAGTGAGAGTGATTTATGACAAGTCCTTAGAATCCTCAAGTGAGGATATCTTGGATTCAAGCCTCTCGGGTAGACTAACTAGGACTTTCTCCACTATCCTTTTATCTGTCATTTCCTCTCCCATTAACCTGATTTTATTCACCACATTCATCAACCTATCTATATATTCCTTCACTGATTTTGACTCCTGCATCTTTAGCATTTCAAACTCCCTTCTTAAGTTCAACACCTGCATGTTTTTTATTGTATCACTACCACTAAACCCCTCCTTGAGTTTAATTATCCCATGCTTCCTTGGTTGTCTCATATGCCATGATCCTTGCAAACACTTGTTCAGTCACTGTTGCATGGATATGTGACAAGGCTCTAGGTGACTTGGTGGCTTCCTCATCATGCAGGCTGATCTAATTCAGAGTGGGGTTTGGCTCCAATGCTGGTGGCTATCCATTTTCTTCAACATACTGTTATAAACCTTTTCCCCTCGGAAAGGTTTTCATTTTGACAGCCCATATGTGGTATTGGTCACTGTTAAAGGTTGAAAGAGTAAGAAAGGTTGTGTCTTGTGCCATTGAATCAGACTGTGTGGAGTTTCACAAGAGGTTTTGCCAGAACAGAGGCTGAGAAAATGGGTGAGAAGAGGTGAGTTTATCGGGCCCTTAAGATCAGTAGGGCTCTGATACCAATTGTTGGTTCAGTTGGAGAGATGATGAGAGTAAAGAGAGAGTGATTTGTAAAAGAAAGGGACGGCAAAGGCTGAAAGTTTTTCTATATATTTCATTCATTGAACAACAAACATCTATACAAGGCAACTCCACTGTTTTACCTAAAGCAGCCTACTGTAGTGGATTAAAAAATAATACATTTGAATTTAAACAAATACATATACCAAAACATGTCGTAGTCTCAACTAAACATGTTAAACAAAAAATCAACTTGACTGTGCCAAATATCTGCTGTAACAACTACAGCAGCCCAATCAAAACAGAATTGTTGTCGCCAAAATATTGTTTGAACCTTCAGCCAACTTTTGTTCCATTTCCAACAGGTTATCACCAACTTCATCAGTTACACGTATATATAGAGAAATTTTGAATTTGGGTTATTGTTTGGAATCGTAGTATTCTTAGAAATTCTACAATACCACCATGATATCACAAAACAATGTTTGCATACTAAATATTTCACTAGGGTCTTACAGATGATGTGTACCTTTGTGTTCTACACTTTTCGATTTCTAGATGTTTTAAACATACATTTATATTTTTTTCAAAATTTGGGCTGGACTGTATTCAAGCCCAAGCTGGAAAGCTCAACCTCTGTCTTGGATGCTACTGTAGCCCTTTGCTCAACTAGTGGTAGAGAGAGGGTTATCCATCAATTATCATGCACTGTGTTGATTTTAGCATATTTTTACAGCCACGAAAAAGTATTTAATATCTCAATAACACATCAAGTATCTCATTTATTTGATATAAAACCTAGGGCTAGGAGATGCTTTACTGGTGTTTGCTTGTGTAATTAATAACATAGCTCTCTTGATTAGTTTAATATCTGTTTCTTTATCTTCAAAAAGATTTAACATAAAAATTCTTACAAGAGTAATATCCACTGGGGAAAGGTTCAATTCGTTCGAGATGATAGTGGGAGAGTTATCATTTGCAAAAGCAGTAACTTATACAGGTCGGGAGGTTAATGGCTATGGGGCACCTCTGAAACTCCATCGATTGGCTCAGAATTGTAAGTAAACGGTCCCGTATACGCAGCGAAAACAAAAATAAATAATATAACAGGATCGTTTACAAAAGTCAAGATCAAGGGTATAATTTTATAATTCATATTAAAGTAAATCTGCAAAAAAATAAATCTGAGTTTAAGAAAAATAAACGCACATTTGGAGGCTCCACCACGTTTGTCTTTGAACGTTTTGCTACCGACCCAAGCGTAGGATTGAACTTATGAAGTCCACATGAAGACAATCACAAAGAATCAAAGAGGGATTTGCTAGATCCTCTTTGGCTTTAAGATTAAAGAAGAATGAAATCAAAATGAATTGATTTTAGGCAAAATGGGTTTCTGCCGTGGGAGAGAAATGGGGCTGCTGTGTATTTTGGTTTTACAATGAAAAATGAGCTAATTAATCAAATGTTACATTTTACAAATAAACATTTTCTTTTATAGTAAAACCTTAATGCCCTATTTCCATATGGAATAGGCTTGGGCTCCAACCCAAACACCCCATGTTACCAAACACTCCTAAATTAGATATTTTATTTATTTCATCATTATCTCAATTAAACTCAATTAATATATATTTAATCTATATATTAAGTTATTAACATTTAACAATAATGATGATTTAATTAAATATATGCGAACACATATTTAAACGTAATTT